GCGTTCTGGGAGATCATAATTTCCCTATCTGCTAAAGAACCAAGGCTGATTGTTTTAGGTATATTGAGTAATTGTTCTGGTCAAACTGTCACAGCTTGCTCTAATCAACTGTGTATTGTACTTCAATAACAAATTGTTCTCTAGTAGAGAAGCTCACAAGTTGTTCTTGTCAGTAGAGAAGCTAACAGAGTAGCTGATTGGGTTGCCAGACAAAGTTAAAATGAAATTTATTAATGGCCCGCGCTACGTGCTAATATCTATATAATAAATATTTTTAAAGTTTTATTTTTAGAAATATATTAAAATTAAATTAATTTTTTAAAAAAATATTTTTGATATAGTATATATTAAAACAATCTAAAATTACAAAAAAAAATCAATCAAAAAATATTTAATTTTTTAAAAAATATTTTTAAAATATAAAAATAAATAGTATTTTATTATATTAACGGCACTGCTACAAGCCAACCTAGTTTTTCTTAAATGAAGTTAAGGTGGTATAAGTATTTCTAAAAAATAAAACTCGGACTATTAGTCCAACTGAGTTTAGTAAGTTCGGTCAATTTAATAATATAAATATTTAATATAAATAAAATATATAATATAAATAAAAAAAATAGACAACAATATACTTTTTAGCTAAAACAAGGTAATCCTGCAAAAACAGATTTAATAAAACTATAATATTTAATCACCAAACAACTTAATATTAAAAGACGAGATGATCATGTTTTTTTTAAAATTAGTAAAAAAATTTAAAAATGAAAAAATAACAAAGCTTAATTTTAAATCAATTAAATATTTAATGATGAAACTAGAAAATATATTAGCTTAAAAAACTGAAAAGCAAGCAAGACCAGTTAAATTTCTTAAATTTAGGTTAATTTTTAAAACTTGTAATTCATTAGATCTTAGACTTAGACTCAACAAAAAAGTTCAATTCTCAATAATTTTAATGCTAAAAAATAAAACTAGGAAAAAATATTAAATTTAAAAAATTTTCAAGATTAAGAAAAGAATAACAAAATAATAAGGGTTAAATATAACAAAGAAAAAACCATAGGAGAATGAAATTGCAAAAAAAAATTCATTCTAAAAACTATCCTAGATAAGATAACTAGCAAAAAAAAGAATGAAGAAAAATTCTAACACATGAAAAAATAAAAGGAAGATAAAATTAAAAAGAATTAATTTGATAAATCATTTCATACAAAACAAATAAATATTAAAAAATATGAAAAACAAATGAAAATAAAAGGAATATAAACAAAATCCGAAAGAAAAAACAATTGAAAAAATGCCATAAAATTTTAAAAGATAAGACATGAAATTCAAGGCAAAGATAGAAAGAGAAAAACAAAACACCTTTTCACACAAGCCTCAGTGTTTTTTTATTTAAAAAAAAATATGTTTTTTTACCGTGATAAAACCACGAAAAGACAGAAATATATATATATATATATATATATATATATATATAAACCTTCTTAACAAGTTAAATAATTTTATTTTTTTAACTTTTAAAAGCATTAACATCATTTTAGGGTGTAAAGAAAATTATAAAGACAACAAATATCATGGACAAAAGTCATTTCACTATGAATAAAAAAGTGTAGAGACCAATTTATTTTTAATCAATTTACTAATAATCATCCCTTGAAAAACATTGTTTTACCCCATCAGCTAGGCCACAATGTTTTATAGAGAGGGGTAAAAACATAAATATGTTTTATAGTGCTTCGTGTTTCCACGTCACTGTGTATTATTCATGAGGTCTTCTGTTTTTTCTAGCAAATAACTTGTTTATTTTAGTTTTTTTGCACTTATAAATATTTACTTACTGATTAAAGTATTAATAAATTGCTTCTTAATCTACATAGGATAGAAACAGGATTGTCAGCATAAATAATAACATTTTTTATAATATTTCTTTAGATATCAATCAATTTAGCATTTACTTTTGAATAAAATCCTAGCCTTTTTATGATGCTAGCAGTTTTTTTGTTAATTATTCTATTTGAAACTGTTATGTAGAGAAAAAAAATTATGTTTGTTTAAGAAAAAGGGGATATTACATGAATCATGAAAGAAAGAATATTTTCAAAAATAATATATTTTTCTATAATTTTATTTGTTTTCTTGCTTGTGAATGTATTTTTTTATAATTATGTAATTAATTAAAAAATAAATTCCAAAAGTTTTCAACCAGCATATCATTCTTTTCTTTTCTAATCATTTGTCTCAAAAATATCAAAAAAAAATATTTTTATTAAAACTTAAATTTATAGATGCAATGAGCTGTTGTTTAAAAAATAATTATTCTAGTGAAATAAAACACAAAAAAATAAAATGGAAGCACGTTAATTAGATTTATGTGAAAGGAAACCTTTGTTATCCTTATTTCAGTTCATCTTAAAAAACTATTTATTGATTCTAATTGCTTATGATTTTTATCAGATTAAGAACCTAGGGAAGAAAAATATTTTATTAATCAGAGAAAAATATTTTATTAAAAAATAATAAATTATAATATGGTTCTTTTTTCAATAAATTTAAATTAATTTCATTTTCTTACAGAAATCAATTCTATTGCATAATTAAATAAAAGAAATTACAAGCTTATTGTATAATGTGATCAGATATCTTAATGTATATTTTTTGGCTCAATTTATAATTAAATTTATAAACTTTTTTAACATTTATTACTATATATAATTTTTATTTATTTTATTAAATCGTTTATATTATTTTTTTAATCATATTTAAAACTTCTTTATAACTACACGCGACGGAGTTTGAGCAAATGACTAGTAGTTTAAAAATAAAAAAGTAGAAGGTCATTTTCGTAATTCAGAAGATTAAGTACAGACCCGGAAATAAAAAATTCATTTTTTCCCGAAACAGGGTAGCAAATCGCCAAACTAAAAGTTTGAAAGCCAAAGCATGGGTCTCCTCTCGTGGTTCAAAGGAAGCTCCAAACCCGAATCAAAACCCTCTTCTAGCTCCACGAAACCCGAATCCTCCCCGCCCTCCGAAATCCCCGGTATGAACGGCGCCGTCGAGGTACCCCGACCACCCCCCAAGAACGTCACCGTTTTCGAGTTCGGGTCTGTATCTGCTACTGCGGATAAGGTTACCCTTGCCGGGTTCTGCCCCGTATCCGACGACCTCGAGCCTTGCCGCTGGGAAATCATCCCGGCGAGTGAATCCGACGCTCCTCAGTTTCGCGTTGTATTTTAACTGGGCATTTCAGACTGGACCAGTGAAAAGGGACCCTTTTCTAAAGGTTTTTTTGCGAGTTTGAAACCTGTGTTTTAAGAGAATGAGGATAATCTTGCCCAGTAGTAATTATGTTGTTCTCTGTCCGTTGGATATCTATGATACTTTTCAGTAATGAGTTTTGGTTATTTTTGGTGGTTTAGTAGAGTTTATTTATTTTGAGTTATTTTTGATAGCTCCTTTTCTTGGTTTAGCAATAAGTGAGGAACTGTTCTTTCTTTTTTGTAGCTTAGGTTGCTATTTTGGATGAAGAAATTATTTGTAGTAGTTATAGTCTTCTTGGCTTAACTTGTTAGCTGAATTAGGATTTCTTAATTAAGGAGTCACTGCAAGATAGATGGATTATAGGTATTTTGTTTAGTTACCATCTTATTAGATGGTTAGATTCTGAAGCTTGTATGCATGCTGCTTCATGAACCCTTTTGAATTTAGAACCTTTTACAATGTAGTTGACTGATAAATAGCTCCACCGTGATTTGAATTGGGTGCAAGGCATTTTTGACTCGATGTGACTGCCTTCAAGTCAATTCTCACCTGGTGGTGAGGTGGTCAAGTAGGCTTAATTTGTTTAATCATCTCATCGTCTGAATGGTGATTGCCCTTGGAGTTGGAATAGTAGTAGTGTGGATAAATCTTCTACTGTTAAGGCTATCCTTAACTTGAGTTGACACTTATGTCTTGTAACTTTTTTCTCATGACAATTGAGTGATTTATGAAGCGTGTGGTTAACTGGCTGCTATCACTTTGATGTTGGTTGGTGGTTGTTTGTAGAGCTAAGCGTAAGTATTGAGATGATAAAGAGCTGATTTAGTTGTTTTTTTAGTGAGTATGTTGGAGGGTTATCAAGGATTTCATAGAGATTTGGGCCAGGGTTTTGTTAGAAGGTTAAGAAGGTGGTATCACTTGGAATGGAGCTCTTGTTAGCTTGGTTTGATTCGATTGAATGTATTGCTAGGTCTGTTTTGAATCTGTAATGTATCTATGCATGTTTCCAAAGAGATTTGTTGGAAATAGTAGCAGAAGAAAGATAAGCAGGGCCTTGGGCAGTTGCAGATAGAGAGGAAAACAATTTATACATGCCCTAGCAAATATCAATTCAGGTCGCAGCAGCTTTCCCCCCTTTCAAAGTAGAAGCCATCTAGTTCTCTGATTCTGTTACCTTTTGCTCGCCAGCGGAAGGATAATAAAAGCAACTACATTGAGAACAGCTTCAACTTTTGAATTTGAGTTATAATTTAAAAGTTATATTTCCTAATTAATTTATGATGAAAACGGGTCAAGTTAGAAGATATTTGACAAAAAAAACTGATTCAAAGCAACTTTTTTTATGAATGAAAGTAATATAAGGTAGAAGTCAAACATTTTAACCTTTTGATTTCATTTTGTAACCATTTTTTTGATAAATTAGAAGTTATTTCTAATCGATATATCTGTTTTTTCAATTTAAAAAAAAAACTTAAATCTGTTTGCACTTTGACAGAAGGTTTTATTATTGTTTGCAGTGCTTCTTTGACTATGTTGTGGGCAGTTCGTGAAAGAAAAGAAAATTGAAAGGCGTGTTAGCGAGTTGATTATTTCATGGGAATTGTTGTTCACTATTGATTAGTTATGAAGTCAATAAACGAATAGAAAACTATGATCTATCATTTTTAACTTGGAATTAAACACTTTCTAAAAGCTCTTGTTTAGATAAAACATGCAGGACTAGTGTAAACAAGGTATCAATTCAAGCCCTCTCTTGTATTGAACCCTCTCTAATGGCATTGAGCATAATGTTGGCCATCGATATGAAGTTTGCAAATACAGTAGAGTCAACGTAGAAAGTTATAGAGGGATATCTCTGAAATAACTCGATGAAATGAAACCATTGCAGTATATTGAGTATATTAACACATCCCCGACTTACAACTTGTGGAGGATTGTTAGTCAATGGGCTGTGCATATAGCAGCCACTTCGATTGGTTCTCTCTTTACTCTTCTTTTTCCTTGGCTTATTTCCCCTTTCCGAAGGCCCGAGAGTTGAGATGGTGGGAAATTTCCAAGTCTTGTGCAGAAGTCTTTATCCCCCAAAGTTACTCACAAGTGTCAAATATCTTAATCAGTTCACAATGGATACAGGACTAAATGAAATGTGTGATGTGTAGTTCTCCGTTTTCGTAGACTCAAAGACTTGCAAGCTGAGATTAGGTTTTCAGTTCTGGCTGGTTCTGAAAAGAAAGAAGACTTTTGTTGGATGACTGCTACCTTGAGCCCGGTATACATCCGCTGATTCATTCCACAGATATTCAGGCCACCCTTACCATATTCAAACTCCAAGAAATATAGGATCATGGCCAGTAAACTTTCTCCTATGCTCACCTCTCCCAGCACATGTTATCATCTATCATGGCTTCACACTGCAATATTCTTAGTCATTTCCACCATCTTTTACACCACCATGTTTTGTTGCTCGAGAATTGGCATCCCTTACAACAAGCACTGTGCCTGGATTGTCCCTGAATCAACCAACTCCTAATGAGATTACTCAATTCACCACCATCCCTTTTGCTCCGGACCAAGATGGGTCCTTCCTTGGCGGGGAAGAAATATTGGCTCATCCAAACTCATCTCAGTACTTTTATCCTCAGTAAAAAAACTAATATACTATGCTAACACAGTAAAGACACACATCATTGATGATACAGAAAACATCACCCACGCTATCCTATTCAAAAATAATATTTATAATATTAACAATAATAAATAATATTTATAATATTAATAATAATATTAAATTTGTATAATTCAAGTTTAAATAAATTTGATTAGAACACTAAACTCAAAGTCTAAGTTTAAATTATAAAATTTAATTCTTAATCAAATAGATATTAACACATAACATTAGAAAAAAAACTAATTAAAAAAAAATTAATTCAATTAAATTAACTTGCTAAACCAAGTTAATCCATCAAACTTGGGATCCGTGTTATAAAAAAATGATAACTAAATAGAAAAAAAAATTAATATTAACAAACTAAATTAAATAAAAAATTTTAATTAAAAGAAAAAAACAATAAAAAAAACCTATAACTAAAAAGCATTTGTTTTTCACTATGAATTTACATGGTACAATCCACGGTGAAAGGTTGATATATTTTAATTATAATTATAATATTAAAAGATAAAATTGAAAGAAAAAAATAAAAAAAATCTAAATTAACTGGATTAACCCATCAAATCAGATTAACCCGTCAAACTTGGAATTCGTGTCATGAAAATACAGTAACTAAATATAAAAAAATTAATATTAATGAATTAAATTAAACAAAAAAAATTATTAAAAAAACAAAGAAAAAAAAACTCTAATAAAAAAGAAATAAGTCTGAATTAATTGGGTCAATATGTCAAACCAGGTTAACCCATCATGAAAATTTAATAACTAAATAAAAATAAAAAAAATTAATAATAACATGAAAATTTAATAACTAAATAAAAATAAATAAAATTAATAATAACAAATAAAATTAACAAAAAAAGTAATTAAAAATAAAAAAACAAAACAAAACAAAAATAACAAAAAATTAATTAAAAACAAAAAAACAAAACAAAACAAAAATAATTCGACATTTAAGTATTTTACTGTGAATGGTATTGTGCAGCGCACAGTAAAACACTTAACGTTTTAGTCATAGTCAATTAATATATCATTCAATTAGAACACCATGTTTGCTGAACAGTAAGCACACATATATGAAGGTGAGGCTCGCTGTAACAAGAAAGAAAAGTGCCCTGCAAAGCACTAAAATCAACATTTTTTTTACACTAATGAATCAAGTGGCTGCACCTCAGAGCATACTGTAATCATCATTATCGCTCATGCCTATGTAACACATTATGGCAATGACAAATACAAAAAATGATGAAAGCTCCATCGCTAGCGCTCCCCATCCAATAACACCGGCATGCTTTAAAATAACTGGTATTGCAATGCTTCCAATTGCTGAAGCTCCGGTCAGGAACTTTGTTGCATTGACCCAACTGTTTCATGAATAATCAGGAAGCACACAGTATAGCTAACTGCTTTAGTGCTCTATTTTAAACTGACAAAAAGTCAAATGTTGACCTGGAATCATTTAAACGTCAGAGCCTTACCCGCTATCAGACTCTGTGAGAAATGAGGAACTATTAGAACCCACAAAGAACAGCAAAGGCATTGGAAGAAGCACGTACATTATTACTGCAAGAGAAAAGAAGTTGTCATCAGCATAGCTAATTTCAATCTCGTATATCTCAATGACTGATGAAGGCCATCCCCTGTTTCTCAAGCATCAAATTTAACTGCATGGAAACTAATCAGGATAAATGCAAAGGCCCCTCTACAGGAAATGAAAAGAACTAACAACGAATTATCCAATCAAAGCAACACAGCCAAAATACTCTTACATGCTCAATGTTCAGTCACATTAGAACTACAATATCTGTGAGCTCAAACTAATTAATGGACACCCTCTGTGATCTTTAAAAGAAAGAGTTATGCCTTATCTATCCATGGACAAGAATACCAAGCATGACTTTTCTAAGACCACAGTGTATGAGCCTAAACAAGCAATTCAATTTAAAGCCAGGTAAAAATTATGCAAAAAATGCATTAAAGTGCATGCATGTTCTTGTTCATGTCCATATAATTTAAGGAGGTAAAATGTGGCAAGCTACCGGTAGAAGATAGTCAGTGATATTTGTTCTTGAGAAAGAAAATTAATGCCATGCAAGGTACAAGCAAATAGCAGACATCGCTTTCATTTACAAGAGGGCAACAGTGAAATGTAGACAGAATCATAAGAAACTCAACTTTAGTTCTGGAACAGATGTTGAGAACTAATATAAGAGCACAGAAAAAGGCATCCAGTATGACAGGTTAGTTGGAACAATATACACTTACACTAATTGTGCCAGGTAGGGTTATGTCTACAGGAATGCAGCAGGTGATGATTCTACTGGTCAGAATTGCTAAAGCGTCAGCACGCCAATGTCCCAGTTGTGAAGAGTTGTGAGTACTTGAAAGGGGTTTCGATGCGATAGCGTTTTGTAATAAAGATAGGCACCGTAGGGATAAGTTTAGTTAGTTTGTTAACACAGCTACACATTCAAAAGAAAAACCTCATGACGATAGAGTGGATGCTTAAGCAAATTCGGATTTAGAGAACTAGTCCATCCTGAATCATAACTTCAGCTGGCACAAATTCTTGCATAACCTGCAGGTCACTCTCTTTTACTTACTTTATACTGAAAATTGCGATTTCATTTTCATTCTGCTTTTCCTATTTGATTAATCACACTGAAAGAGCATGCTACTGATTCCTTTCATATGAGCAGTTGCGAATACTTTAGAACCAGGGAAATCTAGAACATTTTCAAGGATTCTGCACATGAAATACAGTATCAGTATGAGGGAATGAGAATAAATTCAAAGATTCCTGTAAATGTGAACCTTACATTTCCAGGAACATGGTAAGTTTCTCACTTTCAACGACTAGATTATGCAGTCATGACACCACAAGTCAGATAAAATTCAAAACTTCCCAGTTAGAAAATAGTCAGATAAAATTCAAAACTTCCCAGTTAGAAAAAATGAACAACAACAACAACAATAATAATCATCATCTTAGGCAAAAACTCGCGGTCACTTAGTCTTACCAGTTAGCATCGGCCACCAGTTATTGTACAAGGCACATGCCTGCAACACAAAACACAGGAAAGAAGAAAATTATCATTAAATAGGCCATAAAATAATAGTTAAACTAAAAAGATTGAAGGTAATTAGAAAAGAAAAGAGTACAAACCAAGATTTGCAACACAATTCCTCCAGAAACCAAAATGGCCAGGAAACCAAGCTTGCCAATACGTAAACAGGCCCACAAGTAACCCGGTAAGTCCGGCATCATCACCTCACCTAATCATCCATGGAAACAAACCTGTTGAAATTTCATTCATGCAAAAGTAGGAATAACCCATAAATAATTCAAGCTTCTTCAATCGCAAACTAATCCCAAAATTGTATTTTAAACTGATTTTAAAAAATCACCTCAATTTATCACAAACAGAAACAAAAGAGAGAGGAAAGGAGAGAAAGCAGTGAATTGTGAATTGTGAATTAAACAAAGAAAGTAGATTGAGAATTAGAAAGGGAGACTAAATTAAAATTAAGGAGAGATTTACGTACTGTTGCTGGGGCTCTAAAATTATTCTCCGACAAAGGCAAACTAAGTGGCTACAAATTACACCTTGCAAGGAATCTAAACCGTCCTTTTTCTTTGGGGGGTATGTATGGAAAATTGGAAATGGACGATTTTATGATATATTACAATTACGTCACATCTCAATTACAACTACATGTTAAATGCCTTTTTTTTTGTATTTTCATCCTCAATTCTTTTTCAATTGCATCCTTTTATTACCAATTTGATGAGTTACAAATTAAACTTGTAATAGAAAGTAACAATACCAAACTATAAAAACCCCACGGGACCAAACTGAAATTCACATGAAAAGTTCTTTTCAATCCACGTATTTCTTATTTCTTTCTTTACCATACTTATAATTTTTAAAATTTTAGTTTTGACTTAAATATTCATTTTATTTATTTTTATGTCTCTATGCTTGAGGGAAAAAAGATGAAGTCATAAAAAAATAAAGAAGAAGAGATAAAATCATTAATTGGCATGAAAATATCCTATCTCAGTGTTAAAAAGTTTTATTCAATGAAAAACATTTAATTTAAGTATTTTTTAACATCTAACTTACTGGAAAAACTAGATTGGGGCTTGATAATGTTTTTGGAATTGAATTGATTTATTATTTAAAATCATTTTAATGTTGATTTAAGATGGGAAAAAAAGGTTTAAAGGGGTGTTTTTATGCTTTTTTTTTTTAAAATAGAGTTGAAAAATAAATAAAAAAATAATTCTAAAAGTTTTCAATAACAAAAGGTGGCTGTGGTTGAACCAATTGATGATGTATGATATTTTATATTTTAAATTAAAATTGAATGGGTGCGTTTTATTTGTCTAATTTTTCTATATAAAGAATAGAATGTTGGTTTTGTAAACTTAACCTTACAGATTAACATGTGCTTAACTTTTTCTCTTTTATAGAATAGGGTTTGTCCTTTCCAAACCTAGATGCTCAAGTTGTTTTAGTGAGGGCTTGTTTTGAGAAAAAAAAATTAAAAACTGATTGAAATAAAACAATTATAGTAATTTTTTGGGTATTGTTAATTAAATATTAGTTTTGAATTTGTTTCCAAATAAGATTATATAGTTTACACCATGTCATTGTAACTTATCTCACATTTCACCATAGACAATGAGTTTTTTTTAATTTTGATTGTTAATTTTTTTTTTAGAGTGATTTTATCATTTTATGGTTAAATTAAAGATCAATTAATTCAAATTTATTAAGAGATGGCAAGATTGAAAAAAAAGGGATTGAGATGAGAAAACAGAGAAAATAAATGGCAATTTCAAAAAATTACCCAAAGTTTAGTCCTCCTTTTCAAATGATAAAATTTTAGTCCTTTTTGTTTTATAAAATTCAATTTTGATTTGAAACTTTATTTTCTTATTTTTGAATTCATGGTTTGAGAAATAAGAGAGAGTTACTAGATTTTAATCACAGGGAAAAATAAAGTC